AAACACCAATTAATGTACTTGTCCTTTTTTTTGTCATTTTCTTTAAAATCAGTAACTAAACATCTGTTTAAAATAAATATTTACGGTTTGTTTTAGGAAACTGCTTCCTCCAAAAGTACTGACCTGTTGCAGGGTTTCCCGGGGTCATTAAAAATCATTAAAAGTCACAAAATTATACATTATTATACATTAAATGTGATTATCAAGGCATTTAAAATGCTTTATTAAAAAAAATAAATAAAAACAATTTAGTCAGATATATTATATGGTGCTATATTTGTGTGAAACTGCTCGTTAAGCCATATCTTTAGAAAAGAAGCTCAAAAAAGCTAGAGAATGGGGGGGAAATACAAATTTCAACAAAAGTTGCTGAAAAACGAGGAATTGGGGACATGGCTGCAGCCTAGAGCATTAAATTAGTCGCTCATTCCTGTATAAACTCTGTGTTAAATCTCTCAGATTACAAAGATTAAAGATTCAGATAAATGGGAAACAAAATAATTTGCACATATTAGTTTGAATTTGTATCATTTTTTGCATATTGGGCATTTGTGCATTTTATTACCCATTTTCTGTTCACTAAATGCGATTGTTTAGATCGGGTCATGAACAGCTCATTGCATTATGAAATTTTATATATATTTTATTATCAGCAAAAGTTCCCAAATTAAACTCCAAGTTTAGTTCTATAAATGAATATTAATTTAGAACGGTAAAAATATGCAGTTTTTAAAAAGCAGAGTTGAATTTCAGCAGCCGGACTGCAGCCCGATAACTGGCTTCAAATTAAGAACTAAAAACGAAACTGTTTTCCAGATAAACTATAAATTGTCCCTTTAAGGTTACCTGAGTGAAGTTGGCCCCCCCACCTTCTTCAAATCAGACAAAATTAGTGTCAAACGTTTGTGCAGCAAAAATTTTTGTTTGTACCGCTTTCATTTTAAAGATATAAAGAAATGTATCTAGAGGTCATCAAAGGTCAACCAGCCCCCCCCACTTTCTTTAAATCTTCAAATCCAAAGCAGCACAAACGAAAATTTTTGCTGCACAAACGGAGCTGAGTTAATTGACACCCATTTCGTCTGATTTGAAGAAGGTGGGGGGACTGGTTGACCTTTGATGACCTCTAGAAATATATCTTTAAAACGATAGCGGCACAAACGACAATTTTTGCTGCACAAACGTTTGACACTAATTTTGTCTGATTTGAAGAAGGTGGGGGGGCCAACTTCACTCAGGTTTTAAGGTTCTATCTTCACGTTATTATGCAAATGTCGACATTTATGTGTATACTTGTTCCTAAAGTGGTCTTAGTGCTGCCCTCTATGTGTTAAAAGTTGCAACTGCTATTTTTTATTTATTTTTTCCTATTGTTTAGAAATTGTAAAGCTCAGTCCATCTCTATTGGTGCCTTCCATTTGTCTTCAGAAGTCTGAATTACCAACTTAAAAATCGCATATGTCATCTGAAAATGCCTAGAATGTGAAAATTAAAAGTCGGTGCAACAGGTTGTCACCTGACTTCTGCATTCAAGATTAGGGGTGTGGGAAAAAAATCGTTTTGGCGATATATCGAGAATTTTGAATGCCTGATATAATATCGATCTTTAAGTTCCTAGTATTGATTTTTGAACAAAAACTGTTTTATCTAAAACAATGAGAGAAAATGGGCCATCTCTTCACCGCCACTTTAGCAGATAGAGCCGTTTTGCTGTGCGGCGCGGCGCCGTTTCTGTAGCCAAGGCGGCCAAAAGTGGAAAACATGGACCGACTCGAACCCCAAAACATCATGGATACCAAAAAAAAAAGTAAATGATCGATATCTTCTGATGCACATATAGAGCACTTGTGATATTTCAATATCATGATAATTTTGCATCGTAACCCAAGTTGTGACACGTATCGTATCAGAACAGCCATGCCAATACTCACCCCTATTTAATATGGCATCACACTGGTCAGCAGTCAAACTTTCCTACTTTGAGCGCTTGCAGCAGTTCTTTATTGGGTGTAGCGTCTAGTTATTCCGGTTCTACTAAATGTGTTTATCTGATGATTTGTTTTAATGCTGTTTAAATTATGCCGTGTTTAGACGTGTTTTTGTCATTATTTTAACATGGAGAATGCAAGGGTCTGCAACAGGGGTCACCAACACGGCGCCCGCGGGCTCCAAGCAGCCTTCGGGGACCACATGGGATTCCCTAAGTGGCCGAGTTCTTCTGTTCAGGGCTAAAACAATCAGATTAATAGATTATTTAAATAATTTAGTCATCAATTAACGGTAAACTGGAGTACAGAGGCTATAAAATGTGTCTTTAGCTGACAGACCTACCCAATAAGAGCAGGAATTATACAAAAGTTGTGAAAAATATGTAGATAATTTGTATTTAAGATAAAAATATTTTTTATCTGTCAATCTGCTCTATCCAGAGGATATAAGTTTCAGTTTGATTGGTTTAACGTTGCAAAAAGTCTTCTTCAAGGAACCTTTACTGTCAGATTACAAATTGATTAATCTAAAAAATTATCAACAGATCAATCAATTTGCAAAATAATCGTTGGCTGCAGCTCTCGTTCCATTTCATTCTCTCATTCTTCTTTTTTAATCATTTATAGAGCATTTTAAAACCACAATATCTGATAGAAAATTAGAAATTACCTAAAAAAATATATATGTATGTGTATATATATATATATATATATATATATATATATATATATATATGTGTGTGTGTGTGTGTGTGTGTGTTTATGAAGATTAATTGACCTCCCGTTCAAAGGTAAGTATTGGTACCCCTACCATGACTCAGCACCAATGAAGTAGATGTGAGCATTAAAAAGGTGAGTCACCCATGGTCTACAAGCTAAAAACTGGAAAACTCTTACCTCAGAGATTACGTTACTGTAATGAGCTACATTTGAATTCTGAGGATGATGGATTAGAACGTTAGTCAGAGTTCTGCCTTCGTTAATTTTACCTCAGAGATGGAGGTTGGAGACAAAAGCGTTCCAGTCGTCGACCCAATCCACCTCTGAACGGTTCAGAGAATAAGAAGGTTTTTGAGTATTTTCATTTTAATATTGGTGATGTAATGAAGTCGGGGTTTTTTCTCTAAATAAATGTAACTAAAGAATAAGTCATTTTAGAATAAATCAACATAAAAAAGAATAAATTAATATAACGTGTGGGGGGGGCATATTTAAAGACAAAAATGGTTGGGGTGATGAAATTAATCAGCATGCTGTATTTTTTATAGATTTTTTTTTCTATTAAAAGAAATTAAGATGAAAAACACAGAAACCCTAAAAACAAAAGCCTTTTTTTCCTGAAATAAATACATTTTATAACGAAAAAACTTTAAACCTTTGAGGTTTTCTGAGGCAAATTTGGTGAAAACCTGTTGTTTTTTTTTTACCTCTCTTCATCCAAACTGCACAGTTTATACGTTAAAAAACAGCATCACTCCGATCATAGTCATAATGAATCTCACTACATTCAAAACTTCATTACTTTGGTAAAATATTTGTGTGCTTACTGTAACGTTACCATTTAAAAAATCTGGACAGATTTATAAAAAAAGTCTTAACATAAATCAATCTTATATTGCAGCTGATTTCACTGTGAAAACTTTATTCTATGGGAAAATAATGACCAGACTTCCCTGTGGTTGAACAGTTAGTAAGCCCAAACAAAGCATTAATAATACATTTAAAAAGCGTTTATTTTATACATCACAGGCTGCTGGTAAAGATTCTCAGTCATCCAGGTCATTCCACAAAAGTAAAAAACAAAAAAAAAACAATCCGTCTATGTTAAGTAAGAAAAAACAAGTTTGATGCTGTGGCTGAAAAAAATTTCCTTATTTGTCAAAACGATGCTAAAGTATAACTTCACATGATGCTCCACATTCCTCATTTTAGGGAAGAAATTGCCTCTTGTAAGAGTCGTCATAAAATACAACTTTATTCTCGTAATTTTATGACTTCATTATTTTTTTATATGTTGTTTTTTAGCCCTATATATGTAATGCACTCAAAGGCATCTCTCTAAATATCTATAGATATAAATATCAGTGTGTCATAGTTCTATTGTGTTTTTGACAATAGAAAGGCATTCAATAAGTATGTGTTTGATCTTATTTTGGGAAAATACAAAAACCTAACGAAAGTGTTTGGGTGGAGTAACAGTAGGTCCACACTGAAAAAAATCTAAATTTAGATAAGCCATTTTTTACTTAAAATAAGTGCATTTGTTCTTGAATTAAGGAGGTAAAAGAGACATTTTGCTAATGGAACAAGACAATTTACACTTAAAATAAGAAAACACAGTTGCATTGTCTTATTTCAAGTGCATATTATCTAAATATCTTATTTTAAGAGTAGAATTACTCATTCCATTGGCAAATTATCTAATTTAACTACTCAAATTAAGGGTAAATACACCTAATTTAAGAAATTTTAACTTCTTTCTAGATTGTTTTTGCAGTGCATCAGCCCCCACCCTTAGAGCGCCCCCACCAGTTTTCATTACAAAGTTACACCCTTGTATGGTAGAATGTGCAAAGGAATAAATGTTGAATATGATGTTTTCTAAAAATATATTAAACAAAATGTTGACAAATATGCTCAATTATTGGTGTTGAATTACTATAAACTATTTTATACTTTCGGAATAATTGGTTTAAAGGGGTGGAAATCGGTTTCATTATTTCACAATATATTAATGTTGTTAATTTCCAAATGTAATAGATGAGCTTCTGTTTCTTTTGAGGTTTTTCACCTATATGACTGGAAGGCTATGGTGACCATCATGGAAAACTAAGGATGGATCAGCTAAACTGGAGGCTCTTAGAGTGAAATCCAGTGAAGATCCATAGTAGAGATTATCCCTTTCAAATGGAGAATCACACAAAACCTGACAAAGAGCCTCTTAAGACCTGATTTAAAGATTAAAATAGCAACAGCTGATGCAAAATAAGGAGTGCATGGAAGGCAAACAGTCAGCTTATAATTTATTAATCGTCCAGCATTTTCTAAATCGGATGTCAGAAGTTCCTGGATGCGTTTCAGTCGTAGACCTGCTGCCCAAAGGTTGCTGAAAAATGGCGGACAGCTCCGTGTTTCCCGCCCTGTAGCTGCCTGCCCAGCGTGTTTCACCCAGAGGTCAGCCTCGTCCCTGTAACGCCACCTCCTCCTGTGTCTGCGGAGGAGCCTCTTCCTTCAGCAGCCGCTGTTGCGTCGCATGAAGGCGTGGCCCCTGACCAGATAGAACATCTCGTTGAAGCAGAGGGGTCCCACGGTGATCTCGCTGGGGCCCAGCATCTTGAACCCTGACTTCTGGTAGAAAGGAACCAGGAAGTCCTCACACATGAGGATGGCGCGTCGCACGTAGGGCAGGCAGCGGAGGTACTGCAGATAACGCCACATCAGGATGGAGCCTTTGCCCTGCTGCCTGAAGGTCCGGTGGACGGCCAGGACGTGGATGTGGACCGTGGTTCCATGAGGTTTATGGAGCGTCAGGGCATCCTGGAGGAAAGAGAGCAACAGAACAGGATTTGAACCCCCCCATAGCCGTTATAGCAAAGATTTAAAGTTAAAAAACATCTCAGATAGGAACCTTTAAGGTTCTTCTCACAGTCCCCTTTTCTTCCCTTCTATTTAACTATATTTCTGACTGTTTTTATGAAAATAAACTGTCAGCTCTGTTTCCAGTCTTTTCCTTTGTAGCAACATCTCTAAACCAGTCATTGCTTCCCTACCATCATCATTGCTGTGATCTCCATCTACTGCAGGGGTCTGCAACCTGCAGATCCAGAACCACAAGCGACTCTTTATCAGAGCTAAAAATTGTAAAGAACCAAGTAATGTTTTTAAATTTAGTACAACAAAAACCAGTTTTAGAAGCTTTAGCAGTTTTTGAAAGAATAGTTGCTTTGAATTTCTGCAGCAAAAATACATTGAAAGAAACAAAAATTAGCTTAGAAGTTATGATTGTTTTACATTATTGTCACCAGATACCAACATCTGGAAAATTCACATGTCCTCTTTAGAGCAAATTGCAAACGAAATGTTGGTCCTTTTGGTTATAATAAGCATCATCTACTGATAACTGTCGATTCATTAATATTTTCTAACATTTCATTTTTATCCACAGAAAAAAATGTATTTAAATGAATGAAGCTCTTTTATTTTTGTTCTTTCCTTCTCAGTATATTGATGTATGCTATGTACTCTCTAAAAATGTTTTTTTTTCTCAGCTAGTTTGTCTCACTTGCAAGGCCACCAAATGTCTGAGTGGAAGATGGTTATAGACAAGACATACCTTTTTCCCATAACAAAATCACATACTTTTTCAAGGTAACTATTTAACCAAAGTGTCTGTTATTGTTTTGACTCTGCCTTAAAAGTAAGGAAGCAACTTTGTCTAGGTTAGAACCTGGCAGACCATCATGCTGTGAATGTGAATGTCTTGTTCTCCTTTACTTTGCAAAGTAAATAAAGTGCTGACTGACTAAATCCATCGATCTCCTTTATTTAACAAAAATTTTTTTCACACAAGCACTTTTACCTGTTGTTCTGATGTCACTACAACGTGAGGTGTATTTATTCCAAGGCTTTATCAATCCGTACCTGTCCAGGTAGAAACCTTTGAGTGAACTGCCAGGAAGCCACTCTTCCCTGCTGCTCCTCTCTGTGGCTGATAAGAAACCAGGTGGACTCCATCTTCCTAGCCATGCAGGTACAGTACCGCCTGTTTTTCAGTGTAGTCCTGTTTCTTTGACTGACTGGCTGGACTGTTTCTTCTTGTTAAAAGGGAGTTTTTCCTCTCCACTGTCGCTACAAGCATGCTTAGTGTGATTGATCGCCTTCAAGTCAATGAGTCGATGCAATCAACTGGTTTTCCTCAGATAGAAAACTTTGAATCAATCTGACTGGATGATCTGGTGAACTGGAAAGTTCCTTGAGATGACATGATGTGAATTGGAGCTATAGAAATAAACTGAATTGTAATTGTAATTTCTGCAGCTCTAATTGACTTATATTCATAACTGGAATGGCTCTTTGGGTTTTAAAGGTTGCAGACCCCTGATCTACTTCATCCTCATTACTTCATGTAACATGATAAGGCTCAGGTTTGAGGCATATATGAGCATAATATCTTACTTAGTCCATCTCTTTACATGAAATTATAATGGCTTCTATGCACCACTTCACTACTTCCTGAAGGCAGCTTTTGTGTTTCCTGTCTTTTTCTACTGGATTAACTGATTAATCCAAGTGTGCCTGACCTCAGTAACCGTGTCTAGAAACACCTGGATTAATCAATTAATCCAGTGAGGAAAGACAGGAAACACAAGGATTGCCTTCAGGAAGCAGTGAAGTCGTGCATAGAGCCCATTTATGTCAGAGGATGACAAAACTTTTAAAGGAAAAGTCCGCTCACATTCAGAATACAAACTTCTGAAAGTTCTTTAAATCTGAAATTATTCCATCCTGTTCAATAAATGATCAGCGTTTTTAATTCAGAGTAATTTTCATGTGAATGTGCTTTACTGGAGGCATCCATGTTTGTCAAAGAACACTACTGCCACCTACTGGTTAGTGACGTCACGGTGCGGTATCGGCTGTTGATCAAGTCCCAGTGCTGTATCTGGTGTTTGTCACAACGCGCTATTATCCAAGTCATCTTGAAAACATTCTTCTTCCAAATGTTGGCTACATATTACGGGTTTTTTCTCTGGCCAGAAGTTCGATGGCAAATCCTCCCTCTTCAAGTTGGCGATCCAACGACCAACCCGTCCGTGGAGGATCAGGAATCAGAAAGGTGGAATAACTCTTTTTTTCACTTTTACCCGATGTATTCCAGCATCCAGCTGCCATGCACGTGGGCATTGTCAGTTTCACTATAGCTCTGGTGAATTTCAATGGTGAAGTTTCAATTGATTGCAGATGTGTCTAGTAGTTCCCATTGATTTAGCTTGTAAAGCGGGGAGAATGGCGCCAGGCTTACCGCACCGTGACGTCACTGCTGGAAGATGGCAGGAGGGAGGGGCTACTATATTTGGGCAAAAATGGCCGCTCCCAGACTCAGTGATCGCCATCAATATAATGTTTTTTTTTACTGATTAACACTAAATTCAATAAATTATAGCGAATGTATTACGCAGTTTTATTTATAAATAATGATCCATTGATTATTCCTTTCTGACTGGACTTTAACTTTAACCTTAAAGGTCATTACTACAATTTTTTTCAAAAATGATTTGTTCTTATAAACATAATATACATCCACATAACATCTAGAGTGTTGCAGAATAACAGTATTAAATTTGGTGTTTCTATATGTTGACGTGTCCAATGTATATAAATAATTATATTACATAAATAGTTGAAATAAAAGTGTGAAGATAAAAATGTGACATAGTTTTAAGAAACCTTTCAATGATGGTTTATATATTCATAATATATTAATAATATATTTAGCTTTGCATTGGACCACTGGTCCGTCTACAGCCGCCCGTCCTCCTGCCTTTAGGAGTCAATCAGCCAGAGGTTGCCAACCGGCTCCCTGCAGGTTGCTCTGCTTTTCTCTCACCATTGTGAGCCTCTCCTGGTCCCACAGAGAGCCGATGATGAAAGCCACCAGGCGTCCCTCCTCAAACCAGCCGAGGGAGAGCTCAGGGCACAGCGTGAGGAAGTGACGCACCTTGTCCAGGTGGAGAGGACACTCTCCGGACACCGAGATGAAAGCTGAGAGTGGAGACAAGGGAAAAGTCAATATAACAGAATAGAATCACTTCTTACATGAGAGGAAAATGGAAAATTGCCTTTGATTCACCAAAACGTACAAAAAAAACAAAAAAAACAATCCCCATTATAATTCTAGGCTACATAGAGGTGCAAAGATGTTAAAAGGAAAGGTTTAACATCTAAAACAATAAAAAACTTTAAGGACAAAAAAAAAAGAAAAAGAAAGTTTTTCATTAGAAACATTGATTCAGTAAGATAGATTTAATGGTTTGTTTTGCTGTTAATTATTCAATATTTCAAATTGGAAAAAATAGCATTGGCAGTTTAACAAAAACTCAAAAGAATGAGTTATATTTCAGCGATAGTTATTATCTACAAAATCACAGCGTATGCGTTTTTCTGTTACAACAGAAATATCAAAGATAACAGAAAAAAATTCAAGCTTCTCATTTGAGGGATAAAAGTTAACAAAATGACTTTTAAACATTTTAAATTTAGTCTAAAAAGGACGACCATGTCATCAGATGCGATGTTCCTTAGCAACGGGGCTGCCTCAGGCTAAGTTTGCTAGCATGTTTGACTTAAGCATTAGCAATGTGGCTAATCAGGCTTATTTCTTACTGAATTGATAGAACTCAAACACTTCAGCCTAACTGTTCCCGCAAAATAACGCACACCTGTGAAAACTAAGCTAACTGAGCTAACAACTCTCAATCAACTGTACTTTTTTTTGTTTTTTTTTTACTTAGAGGAAATCCAAAAAAATCTCTGAAGGGGGATCGTTAGGGGCAAAAACAACCCCTAACGACTCCCCTTTCAGAGGCTTAGCCCAGTATCAGGTAGGGATGCACGATATTGGGATTTTGGCCGATATGCCGATATTTTAAAACTCATGTAGCCGATAACCGATATCGATACCGATGTTAAAGCTGGACAAAAATAAGTAGTCATTGAAAATAGCAGTTTTGTTATCCATTTCTGAAAAACAATATACTCAAATATATTTTCATATGCTGATATCAAATTGATTTTTAAAAACGCGGTATCGATCTATTTTACTTTCAAAATCTCATGAAATTTCATCGTTCTGTTACAAACTCTCGTGATAATTTGCAAATTCTTGTGAGATTTTGTTAGTAAAATAGATCGATACCGCGTCAATATATCAACATATAAAAATATGGCAACATTTCGTGAATTTCCGGGGGATTTCGTAGCATATGATGACATATAGCAATATTTCATTAGTAAAAGAGATTGATATGGTGTTTTTAAATGGCAATATATCAGCATATGAAGATATTGGGATATTTTAATGGATCAATATTTTTTCCCTCGTCTTTAGAAGTTTTTAAGTCTGTAAAAAAGAAGTTTTTGAGGAAGAAGAAGAAGTAGTATTTTTTTTTTTTTTTAGACTTTAGAAACTCAGAAGCTTAGATTAGATTAGATGAGCTTTATTGATCTCACAGCAGAGAAATTCACTCATCACATATTGGCATAGAAGTCAAAGAAGGTGCAAACAAGGAGGAAAAAGGTGCATTAAGAATAAACAAACATACAGTATATCAAGGTATATACAGTATATCAAGATAAATAAGGATTAAGGTGCAAGTGTACATGTATCACACACAATGAAAAACTAAATAAAAATAAGAAATAAAGAAATAAAAAATAAAAGTACAATCCGGATGGCTTACATACAGGTGGATTTACTTTTACGTTAAAGTGTAGTAGGTAAGGAACTACGGTGAGGTAGTGGTATGACTATTCTATGTACCTCCTGTTCTTCAGCTTCAATTTGCTTGTTTTCTGAGCCAAAACAAGTTTTTGGGGGCTACTATATAAAGCCTCGAACTCAACGCTAATTCTGGCATTTTGAATTGAAAAAGCTTCCTGAATGGGAAGAGAAACGTCTTCAAACTTGGAAACAAAGTCCAGTGGATTGTTACTTTTTTTTTTTTTTTTACATTTTTAGAATGACTCTGACCTGGATGACTGAGAATCTGCACCAGCATTTAGAGGAAACCTGCAGTTACAGTACAAACTTAGTCCAGACACCAAACTTGGAAATGTTCCGTTGTTTTTTTTGTTTTCTTTTGTTGCGATTTTCATGATTGCTTTTCATATTTTGAAACCTTCTGCACCTGCAATAAAACGTTGTGAACTGCTACTTTAGAATATGGAGCACTATTGTAAAGTAAAAATAATAATAATAATAATAATAATTTAACTGTAGCCCAATATTCTATTTAATATAATTTTGAATTTATATTGTTCTAATATAGGGTGACCATATAGATGTCTGTGGCATGCACTCACTTAACATAGACCTACGTAATCCAACAATAACATGATATCTACAGTTGATTTATTAAAAATGCTTTTCAGTAAAAGTCAACAGCAATAACTCCAATAACAAATGATAATTTAATTCAAAATGTATTTATTAAAAATGCTTAACAATTCCTGTAATGAATGAATAGCACAATGAAAGAAAAAATGTCTTATCTAAACACTTACCAATAAAAGTTAACAATAACTCTCAACTCTCAATAACAGATGATACTCAGCCTCAGCAATGAACGAAATACTGCCTGTTCTGTAGGCTATTGGAAAAAATTAATTAACAAATAATATAACAAAAATATCAATAGACTATCTTTACTTTCGGTGTCCAGGTGGCTTTTCAGATCCCTTGCACCGCCATTGGACACCGAGACATATGTGCCTGCTTTGCACACTGTGCACAAGGCATTCCATTAATCTCGACCCGCTCTGAAAGCGGGGAAACTCTTCATAAATCGTCGGTAAACATACATTTGCGCTTTTGCATGTTGTTGGCGTACTGACAGCCACGCTATCTATATTCTGATTAAGAACAGGGCTGCCCGCACTGACGCGGCTCAGGGATTACGTCAAACGCAGCGCCGTGCGCAGTTAGCCTGACGTAGTCCTACTCAATTCTAGTCAGAATGAGTCTGATGCTGCTCCATAGAGCTGTGATTATGGGGCGTGTTTCGAACGAACCAGGAAAAAAAATGACTGCACTCAATTGGATAGACCTACAACCAATAAGAGCAACGGAGTGCGTGACGTATGTTAAGCGACGCATAGTTGTTGTCAACAAAAATCAAAGCGTGCAGTTGCACGCCTAGAATAAGAAGATGAGCCTTGATCGCGTTTCTCTGTTCCTCTTTTAAAATTAATTTGCTGTCGATATCTTCTAGAACAGACCTAATAGCAGAATCTACTCACCTCAACTCTCCGGCAGCAGCCATTGTTGTTGTCACCCAAGTGCGCTTTGGTCACGTGGTTGATTACGTTACTGTTGATCATCTGTCGATCATCGTATAAAGCCCGCCCTGACAATTTGATTGGATCGCCAGAGAGTGGGCGATCATACTCGCGCTACTGTTGAGCAATGCCAGACCGAACTTCCCGACCTCAAACCTTGTGGGCGGGACTAAGTTCGGAATGGCGCCCAGGCTAGTGCGCAGTGCCCTAGTGCCTGTAAATGTATTGGTCCAATTAAGGTAATTTAAAAATCAGGACATTTTTGCTCACTTTCTAAAAAAAACCCGGGACGCCCGGGACAGGACGTGAAATACGGATATGTCCCGGGAAATATGGACGTTTGGTCACCCTATTCTAATAAGACATTTTAATTTTATTTTAATTAAATCTAATTGAATAGAAATTTCACTTCATGCTGTTATATTGATATATTTGAATCCCTTGCCTTGTTTTTTTATTAAATGCTTTTCTTTGCCCATGTAAACTCCTTGGCCCCCTCTTGGCCCCCTTGTACATTTGGTCCAGAACCGCCAGTGTATCAAGCTGTTGCTCTCCGGGTTTAAACCTCCTTACCTTCTCTCTCTATCTCGAACACGCTGATGGCATCCTCCGGGCTGAGGGAGCGGAACTCGCTGGCCGGCAGCGTGTGGCGGCGGCCCCGCGGGGAGCGCACCTGGTGCGGCGGCTTCATGAACGGCGCAGCGCTCAGTGCGGACATCCTTCCTCCAGAACCCACCCAGATCAGGACGCGCTGACACCGATGCCTCCTCTGATTGCTCTTGGTTGAAGTTTTTTCGTCTCCACCCTTGGAAAAAATGATCTTCTCAGACAGACAACCCCACGCGCCACAGGACGCCGCGTAAAGACTGAGCTGGACGCGGCGCGTGGGGAGGATTTATAGCAGCGCGCAGAGGCGGCTGTCTGTAATCCCCGGCTGAGTTGGAAGCCCAAAGCCTCCTTTCCCGTTGGGCAGTTGGAACAGTAAACATATTTACCCGGGAATGAGTGTAGAAGGATCCCTGTCACGCAGGGCCGGTTCTAGCCCTTTGGTTGCCCTAGGCGAGATTGAGTTTTGCGCCCCCCCCCCTCACTTTTGCCGTGCGAAATACCAGTACTGTTTTCAGCATCTGTTTAGTGCTTCATTGAGTTGTGTTTACAGTTCCACAAAGAGTGCTGTGCGGTGAATTGCGCCTACAGTTGTGCAAAGTGTGTGTTACAAAATTGCAAATTGAGTGCAAAGCAGTGTTTGTTCTTTTAGTTTTGTGAACTCATTGAGTGGATTTGCTATAAGTATTAATAGTTTTAGAAATTGTGCTATAAGAATCAAGGTTGTGTTTAAGCATTCAGAAAAAACTGTAACTTAGCATGGAGTGATGCATAGACAAATACCAGAATAGGTTTCAGTACCTTTTCTTTTTTATTATTTTAAATAATTTATTACACACTCAAAGTTAGGACTGTGCAAAAACACTTTTAACCATCTGTAAGGACACTTAGGTAAAGTATAACTAAAAAACTGGATTGAATCATTGAATGAATTTATTTCAGACAATTAACAAATTTAACACACATTAAACAAATATTAAATAAATCAATTTCAGAAATTACCAAATAACAATAAAAAATAATAAATTTAAGAAATTCTTCAACCAAGGACTACATAAAAAAGTAATTGATAAATATTAAATTAAATTTTCTGTTCCAGTTCAATTAAATAATTTGAACATAAATAGAAATGAGATAAACAAAATTTTCCTCTAAATAAAATATATCAGGTATATTTACCATGATTTCTGACATTGATTAGTGATTAAAGAAAGGATTAACCCTCTACAAACAAAAGTGCTTTTATGAATACCATTACAAAATTAAATGTTTGAAGTTGTTGTTTTTTTTGTTGTTCACATATTCTATGATGAACAGCCATAACTTCATATATTTTGATGATTATTTGTACATCCCTTTTGAATACTCAATGCAGATAATCACTACAAAATATTTTATTTATATTAGTATCTTCTACCCATTCTCAAGCTAATAATATAGCACATAATTCTGCTGCATATATATACTGAGGAAAAAAATTATGTCAACATTAGGGATGGGGATCGTTAATATTTATTGATATCGATACCTTTATCGATACTCCTTATCGATCCGAGTCTTTATTATTATTATTTATACCACTATCGATACTTTTCTGTTATTTGGTGGAAAGACGATGCAACAAAATTTTTTTAACAGAACTGGTATTGCTTCTATTGCTTAACACGTGAGCATAACAAAAACGTTTCTAGCCTTCAATAAACATGGCTAATGTAATAGGCCACTTTGAAATGACATAAAACTAACTAGAATATATTTTCACAATTGTTTGTTAATGTATTGTCTACTGTCACTTTTCATCATGTTTTTAGTGATTAGGAAAATATTTAACAAATAAATAATTGTATTTTAAATTAAATGTAATTTTTAATAAATGTTGGCATCAGTAGTTTAATTATATATAGAGCAATATACAACTGTATTACTCGTTTCTCGCCAAAAACAAAATTTCCCGTTTTCTTTACGTTACACTTGAACGCATCATGATAACCTAATTGTCATTTTACTGAGCCAATCTGAACACATCATCACGCAGCACGTCTGAAACTTTATTTACTTTTCAAGCTAACTAGCTTCTTTGCTTTCGATTACAAGACGTATTTCACAATTACTATTTTTAACTGACCGGACAAGCTACAAAGTCTGTGTGCGCGCTTACCAGTGGTACTCTGAGTGGATGATGAAGACGGGCCCGACTGCGGTGGCAGGAGGAGGAGGAGGAGTCTTTTCCGTTCAGCCATTCTCGAGTCGCGAGCTAAGTTAAGTGCAAGACTTCACTTGTTTTACTTTTAATATCTGTTTGCTTACAATTTCATTCCAAAATATTGGTGTACATGCTGCAGTGATTGACGTCACGACTTCCGGGTTGGAGGGCGCTTGAAAAGTAATCAGAATCTTTTCCGATTTTCTCTTAAATGTGAAAAAATAAATAAAAAAAACGGTGGTATATTTATTTGTTCATATTTTGCTATTTATATATACGTAAGGTTAAGTCAAACTGACGGACGCTTCATAACCGGTTTAATTCGCTTTTTTTTCTAATTCTATGATTAATGGGAAGTAAGCCTAAGGGCGACGCTAGAGGGCGCCCCCAACACATTTGTCGCCCTAGGCAATTGCCTAGCTGGCCTATAGCAATCGCCGGCCCTGCTGTCACGCATATATCATCAGATTTAGATTCCTGGATCATGTGTTAGAGGATAAACAAGCTTCCTTATCCATTAAAGTTATTCCTTTCAGTTGCAGCATGAAAGCATAACATTAATCCCACTTTAATAATCTATCAAACTAATAAACTTCATTTCCCCAGATAGTTTCTGTGACACAAACAGGTCTGATTTCTCTCTGCATGTCTTGGTTAATTGGACTTAAGGACATGATCTTTTTTTCTGGAGACTTTCAGTCAGCTGAGTGTTGCTCTTTTTATCCCGGTTTATGTTCATTTCCCTGCTTAATTTTCCAGTCTGGTAAGAGGATTACAGGAAGTGTAGGAGTTTGTTTGTCATCTCATCAGCGCTCAAGCTGCAGCACTAAAGGCACTGAACTTTATTTATGTGACAAATCCACAGCATAAGGTTAGAAGCAGGAGTAATTCCTAATGTGACACAAACACCATAAAAACATTCACACCGACTCATTGAAGAAATAAAAACATCAAAACGTAATCTTGAATTGAACTGAACTAATTTTATCATTTAAAGGAAAAGTCCGCTCATATTCAGAAGTCAAGCTTCAGAAAGTACTTTAAATATGAAATTATTCCATCCTGTTCAATAAATGTTTTTAATTCAGAGTAATTTTCATGTGAATGTGCTTTACTGGAGGCATCCATGTGTAACCGGTTCCCTTCTGCGTTGTGCTGGTTATTGGTAATTAGTCAGGCCGTGACTCGGTTTGGCTTTCTTCGATTTATTCTGACGAAAACATTAAAGAGAAAAGCAATCGTTTTACAAGCTGCCCGCTCCAAGTCCTCTCCCGCAGGACAACATGACAAAAGGGGCGATCATGTCTCACAACATTAAACAAAATAAACCTTCTTTACACAACATACCTGACGAAAACATTAAAGAGAAAAGCAATCATTTCACAAGCTGCCCGCTCCCAGTCCTACACAAACAAAAATACATAACAGAAATTAACTTAATAAATCTATAAATAAACTGGAAGTATTTAGATAGGAAATAAATAGGACACACCTCTCCCGCAGGACAACATGACAAAAGGGGAGGGCCTAAGGGACGCAAACATTTTAAAGACAAAACCATAAAAGAAGAAATAAAAAGGAGGGGCTACCGTTCTTAAACTAACACGTTCAAAACAATGACAGCTTTTCGGTCAGGTAGAGAACAATACAAACAACCAAAAAAAGAAGACATTTTGTGTAATTATAACAACAACCAGGTTATATTCAGAATTCAAACTTCTGAAAGTCCTTTAGATATAAAATTATTCCATCCTGTTCAATAAATGATCAGTGTTTTTAATTCAGAGTAATTTTCATGTGAATGTGCTTTACTGGAGGCATCCATGTTTGTCAAAGAACACTACTGCCACCTACTGGTCTGTGACGTCGCGGTGCGGTATCGGCTGTTGATCAAGTCCCAGTGCTGTATCTGGTGTTTGTCACAACGCGCTATTATCCAAGTCATCTTGAAAACATTCTTCTTCCAAATGTTGGCTACATATTACGGGTTTTTTCTCTGGCCAGAAGTTCGATGGCAAATCCTCCCTCTTCAAGTTGGCGATCCAACGACCAACCCGTCCGTGGAGGATCAGGAATCAGAAAGGTGGCATAACTCTTTTTTTTTCACATTTACCCGATGTATTCCAGCATCCAGCTGCCATGCACGTGGGCATTGTCAGTTTCACTATAGCTCTGGTGAATTTCAATGGTGAAGTCCTCTGGAAATCTTCAATAACTGTTGTTGATTGCAGATGTGTCTAGTAGTTCCCATTGATTTTGCTTGTAAAGCGGGGAGAATGGTGCTAGGCTTACCGCACCATGATCGCAAGAAAATTATTATTTTTATTTTTTTACTAACACTAAATTCATTAAATCACTGTAAACATTTTAGTTTTAGGTATAAATAATGATCCATTGATTATTCCTTTCTGACCGAATTTGTCCTTTAAAGCATTTAAGTCTAAATATTTAATTTTTTAGAATTACATCGTGTGGAATTAACACTATCCAGCTGGTATAAGTCTGTGTATATTATTTATTTTCGGGTTTTGTTGGGATTTCTTCTCCAAATTTAATAACCAACTGATGATCGGAGAAAAATATGTCAAGTGTCCCAGAAAAGTCAGCCAGGTTTTAGCAAATTGGATCAGAAAGGAGAGCATGGCCAGTTTTCACTTTAGCTTCAAGCATTTGCTATCCTGAGGCGAGTGAATATTACATCATCTCACACTAAATAATGATGCATTGATTATTCCTCGCTGACCAGGACTTTAACTTTAAATGATTTAGGCAGAGAGGATTTCCAAAGATTATTAAGAGAATAAGGAACTAAGAAAAAATGTATTTCAAGACTTTTTTTTCTTCAGTTGTGACAAATTGTTATAGTTCATATTGTATATTTTTTATGGGTTACTATAGCAGATGCTGCTCAAAGGATAAAAGTGTTTTCCACCTTCTTTTTATCTTGCTCCAAACAATAAAACATTTTAGCCATTTTTCTGATGCATTTAAAAAAAAAAAATATTTCTTCCCTGTAGCGCACAGATTGTTTACATTGCAACCGGTGTAACTAGGGAGTACCAATATGGTGGCCGGTGGCTTCACTCCACCCTGTACAACCAACAGGCGATCAGCACCGCCATTTTGGTACTCCCTAGTTAAGCATGTATTTATAACATTGCTGTGGTAATTACATCTTACATATAATTTTAAGGTTTTATATAAAGACTGAATTGCAAGCACATGTCTCTTAATTATATTGTATTTTTTTATTTGCTTATTGTGTATGCATGATGCCATATAATTTTATTCTGTGTCTGTGCATTAGCCTTTAGATAATTCCCCAGAGCTTCGGTTTCTACACTAACAAAATCAAATCAATTGGTAAAATAACAGGAAACACCAAATTCATATTTTGCTTTTTGCTCTTAGTTACAACAATAATCTGATAATTTAAAAAAACTATACATACATGTATGAACACGCAGACACTGATTGAAATTACCTGTGAAACATCTCCCTACAGCTGAAAAACTGCTTGTTTTTACGGAAGAGGATTTAGGCCACCGAAAAATTAAAAAATGTAACTGATTTTTTAAATTTTATTTCAGTTTAATATGAAAAAAAGTCAGAATTCTGACTTATTTCCATATTAAACTGAAATAATATTTAAAAATCAGTTCATTTTTTTTTTATTTCTTCAGTGGCCCTAATCCTCTTCCGTATGTTTTGGAGCCAAATGTTTCACATGTAGGCATTTTTTCTCAGTGGGAGTACCAGCATGGCGGACGATGGCTTCCAGTGAATAAATAGAGATCAATTGTGTTTAAGGGCGCTCCCTGGTGGCCGTACAGGGATACTGCGTGATGACGCCCTAACAGCCACAGACTACGTCTCCCTCCGTAGCTACGTAAACACGTGCACCTCGCTGCTTCCAGTTTCAGCCTTTTCATCTCCACCGTCATCCTCGCGCTCCTTACATCTCTTCTTGACAGCAGCAGCGATGGCAGACTCTGTAGCATCGGATGCAGCGGCAGCTACGGACCAAACAGCCGCGGCATCCTCACCGACACACGGCCTTTCTCCCGCACCGAGCCCGGGATCCGAGCCTCCATCCATGGCTCTGTCTCCCACGGCCAACGGCTCCCAGCGGCTGTTGTTCTCCCACGACCTGGTATCGGGGCGGTATCGCGGCTCGGTCCGGTATGGCGTCGTACGGATGATCCACGGAGAGGAGGATTTTAACTCTGATTCGGACGTCGATGATGGCGGAGGGAGAGGCGGCGGCGGAGGAGGTGGTGGAGGAGGAGGAGGAGGACGAGCGCCGGGCGGTTCGGACACTGAGAGTGCCGTGGACACCCCGAGCCGGCCTCTCGGTAGGGGATTTGTCCGCGTGCAGTGGTACCCTGAAGGAGCCAAGCAGGACATCCGAGAGACAAAGGTACCACCTGCAGCAGCTTTTTCTGGCAGCGGGGGCTGTCGCAGCCTGACCCCTAATGTCGCTCATTATTCTGGGTGTTTCTGGAGGAGATAAAACAGTCAGTCAGGAACCAGGCTCCTTTAATCCATCTGCCTGTAACTACAAACCTAGCTCGCTAATTGGCTAACACACTAGCTAGCTAGCAGCGTAGCTCTCTGTCTCGCGCCTCAGCTGCTTCTGGAAGCACATCAATTAAACACAGCGAACCGCGTCCAGCTAATAGATCCACACTCATTGATCAGCTCATCATTGTCCCTCCGCTGGGTGTGACCAGGCTCAGGGGGGGGGGGGGGGGGGGGGGGGGGCTGCCTCCTGGACAGGGGCGGTTCTAGACGAACTTTATCAGGGGGCTGAAGCGTATTTTCATGGAGGCACAGAAAAGCATGAAACATACAAATCAGATTTGTATATATTAAGAGAGCTGCATGACGTAACATTTCCATTCAAATAGGTTTAATTAAAGTTGTAGGGAAGCAGCTTTTTGGTGTCAAAACCCGATCCGTCCCGGAAGCGCTGTTCTGCGCATGCGCCATCAGCTCATTTGCCTATCCAGATATACATCCGGGTCACCCTTGATTTTACTTTGTTAAAAATACCTAAATGACGTTTTCCTTCACCAAAGATAGTGAAGGTACTAAAAAATAATATGTTAAAGGTTAACTATGTATTTCCTGAGAAAACAAATGCCTTAAAATCCTGTTTTATCACCCGTCTCTGTGCAATCTGCACCGGAAATGGGAGCCTACGCTACTTCCGGTGGCTAACGTTTTCGGCTTTAGATCTAAACATAAATCTAGTCTGTTTGAGTTGTATGTTTTCGTTTGGTGTTATTATTATGGTATATAGTGCGTAATCTAAAAAAAGAAACAACTAAAATGCAGATAAATATGGTTTAATCATATTTTGCCGGACTGCTCTGAGCATGACTGATGATGACGTCAGAGAAGCAGTTTAACAAAGAAAATGTAAAAAGCCTAATAATTCCCTGACATAAGTCCTAAAGCATTTTTTAAAGATGTGTATTAGCATTATTTGGTGAGTTAAAGATAGAAATAAGTAGCTTTAGGACCATAATTACATTATCTGTTTGAGCAGGACGGATCCCATAGCTATATAAATGTCTAAATTTAAGTTAAAATTACAGTTTTCTATAAAATCAGAATTAGAAGAAAAAAAACCCTGAAATTCAGCTGTAAAAATCAGAGTATTTTGTTTTTATTTGTTAAAAAAAAAACATTTAGGAGATAAAAACTGGGATCCAATCTCAATAGCACTGAAGCTATCACTTAATTGTTTTAAATAATTAGTAAACCAGAAATTGTAATAGAAAATGAATTAAATAGATCCAAAGGATGCATCAGTAACCATGTCTGCTCCAGCGCATATCATCATTAGAATTTCTTTGAGTATTATGTCTTCAGTACAGGGGCCAGGACATGATCTACAGGGGCACCGGCCCCCATTGGCCCGGTGGGGTGGGGCCGTTGTTTTTAATGGCGACACAGAACAAAAATAACAATGATAAAGACCTGGTTATATCTCAGTGTTTGTATCTAATCAGGCTCGCGTATGGAAGCGAGAGAGGATCGCTTTCGAGAGGATTCGACTTAAAATAAGTGCAATAATCTGTCAATGCAGTGAGGCATTTGCACTTTGCAAGACTTCTTGAAATCATGACAGATATTCTCATAACAAAAAGTATATAAATCTCAAAACAGGATCTAACATTTGAGGGAATTCCATTATGTCGATGGATATAATCGTATGATTTATTGTGTATGACACAGCAAAAAGTAATCTAAAATGTAAAAACTCCTCAAAATGAGCGGGTAAATAAGATGTTATGCCAAAGAAAATAGCATTTTTCCCTCAAAATAAGATAATTGCATATAAACTACTTGAAATAAGTAGAGGGATTTTCTTTTTTATTGTATATTGAAAAGATCTTGTCTTACACACCCGTTCAAATTGATGCAAAATATACCCTTTTTTTTTCAAGAAAATTGACTTGTATGTCAATTTTTTGTAGTGTATGGTTTAAGTACAGGGGCCAGGAGGGGTGCTGGCCCCTGTTGGCCCCTGCCTAGAACCGTCTATGCTCCTGGACAGTCCTGGACAAACGCACAGAAACCGAGCCTCCATCAGAACCGATGTTGACATCAAACATTGATTGCTGGTGGAGGGCTGTTGACAGAAAACAATATGGCTGTTTACATATCTATATGGTAAACAAACATGACCCAGATTCACTAATGGTCACCAATCTGGAAAGCAGTTGACCTCCATGTTGCTTCCAGTCATTGACTTTAATTTTAAGGCTATGATTGTGTTGCCGTTCCAGATCTGCTGTCATGATTGAAAAGAGCAGTTCCTGTTGAACCCGTTTCAGGTGGTGCATTGTCCTCCTGCTTAATTAAGAAATGGGGAAGCACCTGCTTCTAGTCTGTTCATCAGCTTTTCTCATGCTCTCCTAAGCTATAATGAGAGGTCATCAGGTCCAGTGGAAATGTGTGTGGAAAATCCAAGCAGCCTGCTCTCATCTTCTGGATGGGACCAGGAGAAAGAAGCCTCTCATGGTGCTGCTTTGCAGCGTTATTGTTAGTTTGGAGCTGAATGAGTAAAGTTCTGGTTGCTCATTCAGTCAGAACAAAGGTTTTCCAGAGTTACTTCAACAATAACGTTCAGACACCCCATGACCTGAAAAAGGCTGTCATCAAAACCTTCTCTGTGCAGTTATGAGCGTATATTGTTCGTCTTTACATTTTCGCTTTAACAATTAGTCTTTTAATGCTTCTGGATCTTTTTATTTCAGCCTTTAAAGGAAAAGCCTGCTTCATATTCAGAATTCAATCATCTAAAAGTACTTTAAATATGAAATTATTACATACTGTTCCATAAATAAATGTTTTTAATTAATAGTAATTTTCATTTGAATGTGCTTTACTGGAGGCATCTATGTTTGTAAAGAACACTACTGCCACCTACCTAAGTAAGTTACCTCTGGAAGTTCATCAAGCGAATGATAAGAGTGTGTGAAGCAGTAATCAAAGCAAAAGGTGGCTACTCTGAAGAACCTAGAATATAAGACATATTTCATTTGTTTCACACTTTTTTGTTAACTATATAAATCCATGTGATAATTCATAGTTTTGGTGCCTTCAGTGTGAATCTACAGTTTCAGTCATGAAAATAAAGAAAAACTCTTTAAATGAGAAGGTGTAAAGAAAATTTCCTGATTTTACACATATTTTATAAAACACCTGAACTGACTGTTATTTTTTTTCTTTCTTTTTTCTGTCTTAATGTTGGCAGTGGGCTTTAGGCTGCCCTGCAAGGCTTTAAACCTGGGTTTAACCAGAGACTAAGCCATTCTCAAGCACATATCAAGGAGCTCATTTTGAGCCTGGATCCAGATTTATTGTTGATTCTGTTCATGGTGGAGAATCCTGCTTCACAGCAGCAGGTTGAGCCAAACATCCTCTAAATGTGCAGGGTCATCTTTGAGCACGCCATTTCACTTTTCTTTCACCAGTTCACCGCAGTTCTTCCAGCAGTCCACACTTTCTCTGCTCTCTTTTTCTCATCGTCTTCTCCTTCTTTCCCATCGACTGGCTTGCTATATATATATATAAAGCTATATGTCTCAGACAATGTGGAAGAACAGAGTAGATGGTGCCAGTGGCTCCTTCAATAGAAGATAAGCCCCTACATGAGATGTACCACTGAACAATAATCGAAGTGGCAGATATCAGGAAATCCTGCCTTTATTGTGACACACTTGAATAAAACTTGTGAAACCAGTTAGCTAAAGGTGGATCCTCCTTGGTAACTGCTTTGAGTTTCAGTATAAATCCAGCTGTTCTCTGTAGAGCCATTGAAACACAAATATGTCAGAGAAGGTAGGTTGAAGTCCAGTATAATAAAGGGTTAATTTTTTAAAAGACCCACCCTCTCCACTTAAAAAAAAGAATACACGTGTGAGAGAGTGAACAAGCCAATTTCTCCTCGTGCACGCTCTGTTTAGAAGTTGCTGTTCTCATAGCTCGTACAAGCTTACTGTGCCTTAATGTCCACAGTATAGATCAGGGATTATATAGTGGACTTTATAGCAAACTCTGTTAACTGGCCGTTCGGACAAATGATCACTTCCCCATTGGTCCACTGTCCCTGGTGCCTGCGCCATCTTTGTTATTAGTTGCCGCTATCAGCGGCAGCCTATGGCGACAGTGGGCTGCTGTGACAGTAAATCCCATAATGCTTTGCGTCCTGGGATATATCTGCCTCTTCTGAAGCTTTTCTTTTCTTCTCATACACTTCGTAGACACTTTTTCTCCCTCGGACGTTTTCAAAGAACCACGGTGAGAAAGGTGAGCTTCAACGACTGTCTGAAACAGTCACTCACCACAGATACACGCCTGAAAGTTCGCATGCGCGGAAAAAGATAGCTAACGGTAGTAGCACGTAGGATGGCCTTACGTAAACATCACCAGAATGATTGACAGTTAGGATTGACACAATCATCCAGCATATGCTCAGTTTCTGCCCAAATATTTTCCTTTTGTTGTGGATGTTTGTAACGTGGATAATTAGGATCATCCATGGTTTGTTACAACTATGTTTGTTCTTTGCTTCCAAACTCAGCATCTCTTCATCCAAGCCTGAGATTAGAATTTTTTTTTTTTAATTATGAGAGGCGCTCTTTGGCGTTTTAACTGGATTTGATTAAAATTTTAAGGCTCTTAGTATAAAATAAATATTTTGATTGAGATGAGAAATCTGCTTCCTGGTATGTAGAAGTAATAATAGTTTACATCCAATCGTTTAATTAAACATTCTTAGTTTTTGGGAATAGGTATATAAGCTCATGAATGAGCCTGGAGTGGCTTAGTCTCCGGTTAAACCCAGGTTTAAAGCCTTGCAGGGCAGCCTAAAGCCCACTGCCAACATTAAGACAGAAAAAA